TTGTTTCTTTGTGCTGTGTCACAGGATGACATTGCTCACCGTGACAGCCGCCCAGGCAGACAAAAATAGCAAGTTAGAACATGTCACCCTGATGCGGCAGAGCCCAGAGACAGAAGGTACTTTACACTGGTTATCACTGGGAGAATGTCTTTGTAGGCAAAGCTTTGGTTATCACATGCTTTTTATGGCAGGGGCTGAGGCTGGGGGCTTAACAGGACGGTCGTGACACAGCTTGAGAAGATGAAACTTTTCTGGTAGTTTGCAGTGCAGGGGAAGTAGAAAAATCCATTTGTAGTGACACAACTCCTAGAAGCAAATTCTTTATTACAAGATCTTGTAAGCATTCCAGTACAGACTTATCTCCTCCACTGTAGCTTTGAGTTGATGAAAGTTAACAAATATTTTTAAAGAAAAAAGAAAAGGGAAAATGGACAGCTCTATAAAATGTAGTAGTAGATGAAGTTTGGACAATGATTACATCAAAGATAAACATCAAACCACAGGAATTACACACGGTCCTAAGGCAAACTATGCAATGAATGTATGCAATTGCACTTGAGTCTGTACAAAGTTATGACACACCCCACTGCCCAAGCACTCGATGTCCTGGGTCCTGATGGATCTCTCTGCATGCAGAGCAGCAGCTTCAGAACCAAGGAATACCCGGAGTGCTGCTGTACCATACATTCAGCTTGTTAGGTGAGTGACCAATGACCTAGCAGTGCCCAACTGACTGTTGTCCAAGAAAAAATCATATTAAACCAGTTTCACTGGTATCTGTTGTTTTGTGCTTCTCCCTTAGGTAGAAATCCCAATGCCTTTGACCACAACACATCCACCTGCTGAGACAGAAAATGTGACCTGATACCCTGATCCTGTCCAAGTCAGCAGAAATCCTGTGGTGAGTCTAACCTCCTCATAATTTTTATTTCCCCCAAGTATGTAAAAAGTAGTGATATTGATTTCTCTCCACACCCCCATTCTCAAGCACAAGCTGTGCTCCATCATTATTCTGCAATGAAGGCCCATATTAAATGAACTACTGGATCTTGTCCCCATTTCAGTCTGTTGCACTGTGTTCAGCACCCAGAGAGATCAGATCTCCTAAATCAAGGCTCCAAATGACCAAATGACATTTTTGTGAGTTCCCTGTATAAAGCACAAACCCCTCCTTTCCATGTGGCAGCGACTAAGCTGGTTTCTGAACACCTGCTGTTTCTGTTCAGCTGCTGTGTGAACACCGCTCCTAGTTAATCCTCCAGCAACGTGAGGTTCCCCCCTTGCCTTCCATATCCTTACAGTAAAAATGAGTACCCAGCTGGACAGCATTTTTTGCCTTTCTGCACCCACAGCTCCCCCTCCTGCAGTGCCCGTACAGTGAGCGATTGCCCTGCTCCAGGGGGAGTGTTCAGGCAAAAAAATACTCTTATCAGATCCATTGGGCTTTGGAATCCATTCCCTAAAAGGCAGGGGAAAAGCAAACCCTTGTTATGTTCTGTTCAGTAGGTCACCCTTAATGTTTGATTCAGTCTGCAATAAAAAATATTCTTTTTGTTGAAATGTCAGATGCACGAGAAAGATAGTGAGCTACAGAGCAAACAGCTTCCATTTCTTTTCATTCAAAGTGTGAGATCCTTCAATACCCTGGAATAATAAACCTCTCTGACAGGCAGCTGCTGTTGTTAGGACAATTTGCTCTTTGTCCTCAAGCTGAAAGGAGCTCTCTGCTGTGCAGGAGCATTTTGCTGGTCCCTGGGGTGTACAGCTGGTTGCTTGCAGAGCTGCTACAGGCAGCAGGAGGCTTAGTGACCAGATAGAAGAAAACCTAGAAGTGTGCACAGGGTCTGGCTGAGATGGAGCTCATTCCCCACAGCAGCCCCGCGGTGCTGGGCTGGGCATTGGTACCTACAAAGGGGCTGGTGACACACCAGTGTTTTGGCTGCTGCAGAGCGGTGCTCCCACAGCATCAGCACTGTCTGTCCAACATTCCCCCCTCACTCTGCTCTGCAAAAAAAGTTAGGAGGAGGGGGAAAGCATTTGTTATTACATTTGTCTTCTAGAGCAACCACTGTGCGCTTGAAGCCCTCCATCCCAGGAAGTGGCCAGACATCGCCAGCTGATGGTAAAGAGTAAATCTTTATTTAATCCACTTTATTAAAATACCTTTTGTCTTGGCCAATGTGGGATTTTTTCCTTTTTATTTTCTCCCCCTACCCTATCCTGCTGAGAAGGGGACTGATAGAGCAGCTTGGTGGGCTCCTGATGTCCAGACAAGGTCAACCCTCCACGGTCCTTTTTGGCACCGATGTGAGGCACGAGACAAGGGCAGCTTTGTTTCCAGTGTGCTACAGCTACAGCAGCTACTAAGTGGGAAGCTCCTGTGTGAGTCATGGAGTGTGTTGGCTGCACTGCTTATCTCTTTATTTTGCTGAACTTGGGAACACATTAGTACAAACAATGGCTCTGGGCTTTGTCCCTGGCGTTGATGGCCTTGCTGTTCCGTGGGAGCTGTCTCATCTCCATAAGGGGATGAGGGAACTCATCTCCCTCTCCCTACTTGGGACTCATGTGGATGACTGTGCAGGTTCCAGAGGTTCTTGTTCGCGCCTATGTGAGCTGTTAACAGTACTAACCAACAGTGGTGGTGTGTTGTGCGTTGGTGGAATCCGGTGTCATCGTGGTGTAAGAGAAGGGTTTGGGTGAGGCAATACTGAAATGCGCCCTGAGGCAGCATTCCCTGGGTGGCAGGGCATGTGGAAGGATTTGGGCAGGTTCCTAAGACAGATATCACCTCCCATAGCCTGGGACTTTGCACCTGAATAGGCAAGCAACCCTGGAAAACTGATGTGTCACCTGATGGAAGGGGGCCTGGCCTTACCCCAGTGAAAACCAGCAGCCCCTCACCCTGTACTGGGGCCTGGCCCGTGCCTATGGAGCCACAGTTCAGTGCTCTCAGAGGGCTGTGGTTGAGGCAGGACCCAAACAACAGGAGCAACTACAGGAATTGCCCCAGGAGTGAAAAAGAAACTGCGGTCAAGGAAAAAAGCAGGTCCGTATCATCGATTAGTAAGGAAGGAGGAAGAAGGGGAAAGGTTTGATCAAGATGCCGGTCCTCCAACAAATAAATTGGAGGAAGGAGTGAGTGAATTCAGACAAGAAGCAGAAACTACCCTGTCCCTGACCCCATCGGAGCTTTGAGACATGCCAGAAGATTACAGGACTCCAGGTGGGCAGATTGCTGCCTGGCTGATTCAATAGCTGGCTGGGATAACAGGACTGACAGTGAGCAACTGGAAGGTAAGGAAGCCCAACAGCTGGGATCCCTTCCTAGGAACTGGGGAATTGAGAGAGGAATTGGAAAAGAGGCAGCAATTTGCAGTCCCTGGAGATGGCTCTTCCCAAGTGTGAGGATGGTCTTGTGAACTCCCCTGCAGAGGGGACTGACAGAGATGAAGGCATCCATTACCTGAGAGAATCAGCAGTGCTGGGAGCCATCTACAGTGATCTGCATGAAGATGTCTCCAAAGTTCCAGAGGATGTCCTGTGCACACAGGCCATGTGGAGGACAGTGATTCAAAGTGTCCCAGCATCGTAACAGCTTGGCAGCAATGTGCTGCCGGGGTATGGATGCACCAGCTATGGAGACAGTGTCTTCTTGGGTCCAAAACTTTGAAGCTGATCTCTCTACCTCCTCATCCCTATGGGCCCCTTGGCTATCAGGGGTGCCCCAGTCCTCTCCTGCCCCAGGCACATGCTGCATGGTGCACCCTGGCTCTTCCCACATGACCAGGGGAGCATGAAGTGGGATGGTGGTGAGCTGGGAGCCCCTGTATGTGAACTGAGAGGGAACAGAGCTGTTAAGGGGCCACCCAAAATAATGGACTGGTAAAGACAGAAGGCGAGATAATGCCCAGGAGTCCTTCCCAATCTAAGTGTTTCTGTGATTGTACAAAAGCAGTAATAGCAACCACCAATACATCTTTATCTAATCATCTGTTTCACAGAATTTGCCTTATCCCTTCCTTTATAAAATTCAAAAGAAGTTATGGATGGACCCTCTTCTGAGAGGATAGCCACTCTATTAGGAGGAATAAAAGCCCCCAACTGCTTTTATTCTCTATGCAATCAGAAAACCACACAGGGATAAAACAAACAAAAAAAAGTCCCAGAAATCTCCAGTGAGAAGGAAAACTCTCACTTCGTGTTACATCTGGGTCAATGTTTAGAAGCTGTTTTAGCTGCCAGGTCACTCCTCAGAGCACCTGCTGTTCATTTGCAGTGTTTTTCATTAGCAGCCTGCATTCAATACCACGTATTCAGCTTGGCAGGTACCCAGCACTGCTCCTAAAAAAAAATAAATCTGTGTTTACTTGTCACGAACACCCCCAAGCCCTTGGTGTCTCCTGTCTGGATAGATGGCTAGCTGCCCAAACTGAAAGGAGCAGCATTTAGAACAGGACAGTGTCTATGGAGCTTGTCCAACGCCCTGTAGTGCCCCTCAAGTGGGTCTGACACTTGATACCAAAGCCACCCCCACAACAACTCCCTCTCCAGAGGCTGACTCCAACCCTTCCCTGTGCCTGGAGTAACTGCTGCTGGCTGTGGTTAACCCTTTGCTAGGAACTACCAGACTTGCTGTTTTAGCAGGACACTTTGGCAGGAGGAAGACTGTCAGATGTTCCTGCTGCAGCACAAACCAGAGCAGCTCTCTGAACCTCTGTCAGGTGCAATGTCTCCTCAAGTGCTTGGGAGAGGCTGTGTTTCACTATTTTTGCCACAAATGGATTGTGGGAATCTTCAAACTTGCTGCAGACTGAGAACCTGCTCTTGCTGGTACCAACTAAAAGTGCCGTCCCAGCCTCAGGTAAGCCAGGCTGAGCCCAGGATCAGCAACCATTCTGACCCCAGGCAAACACCAAACCACAGCCCTGGGGAAAATCTGAGGAGATAGAAAGAATTATGATTGTACAACAGTGGACTGCTCATTACAGAGGCCTGGGCACCGTACAGCAGAGATTTATACACACAGGCTCACAAGCTGTCTGTGCTTATAAACTGCATATATACATTATACACACCATGTAACACACCAAGTGATGGGACAAAACCAGCACACTCCAAACACCGAGTACCTAATGATGTCAGTACAACACGGTGCTCTGCTGGGTGCTGCAAGGTCTTCAACCAGAGGCAAGGAAAAATGTGTGGAATAACTGCCTATGTGACTAAGTAACCCTGGACTAAAAGGAAAGGGATAAAAGTAATGCAGATAAGTGCTTCACATTGGAAAATGAAGATCAGGGCAGGCGCCTCAGAAATTTTTTTTGCAAGGTGACTTAGTATCTTTTGCCTCTTTTGATTTTACAGTTGTGCAGTTGGAAACATCCGTAGAATGAGAAATACTGCAGCAAGCCTGAGAAAAGACCAGTTTTTCTCTGCCCATATTTCATTGCAACAGGGTGACCCAGAGGCCACAAGAGCTGCACACCTGATGTGAAAAGGAGGAAGGAGGTGGTCTGAACAAGACAACAAGACATGCAGGGACAGATCTTCACCTGCTGCCAACATGTCACCCGCAGTCCATGTCACAGCAGCAAAATGAGCTGGCTCAGAGCTCTGGTCCCCCCATGCCTCACTGGACACAACAAGACAAGTGGAAACACTTCCTTCAAGTATAAAACTATCTTGTGGTGTCTGAATATCTGACACCTCCTAGAAACAATACCCAAAACTTACAAAAATTACCTTAAGTTACGCTCTCTCCTTTCTCTAGCCTGCTTGGGACATTTTACATCTCCCTGTATACCATAAAGAGACAAGGGAGATCACAGCTTACTCAGACAACTTCAGCAGAGGGCACGAAAATCCTCATGTATTTATGAAGAAATAAACTGTCTAACACATCAAATCTTGAAGAGTAAACTCTTTGAAATTAGCTTCTTTTCTTTATTTAAAAAAAAAAAGAAAAGAAATTCAAGTTGATGAGAGTCTCTGGGTATCAAAACTGTGCGTCTTTTTCCCTCTTTTGTGCTCCTGTGAAGCACTGACACAGCAAAGAGAAGACAGTGCAGGGGACTGCTGTGTGGTCCACAGAGACTGTACAGGCTTTGGACTCAATGGAGAAAGGTTCCCATCTGTCCAACAGCACGTGGCTCCAGCCTAGTCTGTCTCCTTGTAGCTAGATCATGGATGATGGTGAGAGCATAAAGCCCTGCAAACCAGCACTGTCTCAGGAAGTTGTACAACTACACCGAATGCCACCGGCATCAGAACCTAAACACTTCCGAAACTTCTGCCTTATTTTTCACCCACTTCTCCTGAAGCACAGGGGAGTTTTGGGTGGCTGCAGCAGAGGAAGACAACAAGCCCTCCTTCTGTCTACCCAACAACATTGTGCGTTTGTTCCCCCACGTATTAACGTACAAGGGAGCCAGCGTGTGGCTCAGACTTACAGAGCTGCCAGGTCACTATTCCTGGGGAATACAGGTAGATATGGAACAACTGTGCAACCCCTCCAGCCTCAGGTGAAAGCCCAGAGCCTCGTCTATGTGAACAAAGTGATGTGCGGAGCTGCTGGGACTACAATCCCAAATGGCTGCCTCAGTGCCGACTGGAATAAAGGCAGGCAGCAGAATACAGTCAGCCGTAAGCAACAACGGGGTGTTACGCACCAAGGGAGCAGTGGCACCTTCTAAACACTGGGAACGGAAGAGATGGACAAGACACTGAGTCAGCCTATGAACAGATGGATATGTTCTCCTGTGTCCAGATGATGGCAGGGAAAGATGGCTGTGGCAGGTCTTCAGGCCCACCTCCCGCTGGAAGCGAAGCTGCGGCTGAAGGAGAAGCTGACCTCACCGTTCTTGTACTTGCCCCAAGCTCCAAAGGGCACTATGATAACCGTGCAGTTATCTTCAGTGCCAAACTGCACTGCCTGAAAGGAGAAACACAGTGTCAGCCCTGATGCTCCACTCTGGTATGCTCCAGAGTTTTCCACAGGATATGCCACCATCCAGAACCATGGTGAGACGCCGGCCATTTCTGTCTATGCCAATGACATATTCAGCACAGGAACGAGCTGCAGTTACAGTGGACTGTGAGCTAAGCAAGTTAATTGAACTGATGCCTGGCAAGGATGAGGCGAGATTAAGGGTAAGGAAAAAAGTCCAATTCACTTGGACGTGTGGTTGTATACTTGGGTTTTTTTAAACCAAAACAAACCAAAGAAACCCAACAAGCATGTGGTGCCCAGAGAAGCCCTGGCATTACCTGCTCAGTAACAACGTGGGCAGCTTCAGCAGGATCATGGCACTGGCTTATGAAGTCGCAGATCTCCTGGCTGTTCACTATGAAGTTAATCCCATCTGTGGTAAGGACCAGAAAGCTGTCGTGTGCGTGATGCAACTGCAACAAAGGCACACAGAAATAACAACAAAGGGGTGAGTGCTGCAAGGCAGATTACCTGCCTTCATGGTGTTACACTGTGTTGCAAAGCACTTTGTCCAGGGATACTGCCTGCTCTCCTGCTTTCTGTGCAAGGACTAACTGGAACCCCAATTCTTAGCTAGACAAAGGCTGCACCTTGAATCCTCAGGTACATCCATGGGTCACACACACTATGTTCCCTGTACTGGAGGACAGTGTCTTAAGGTGCGTCCAGTTCTAGGAAGCCAAAAGACCAGATCTATTACAAAAGACCAGATACATTATCCAGTAAGCAAAATTCTTTCTGAAAGCCAGGATTTCAAGGGAGACATGACAGCACTGCAGTCACCTCCCTAAACCCCTCAGGCCTAGTGGGTGGCATTTTTATTAGGACCAATTGAATGTAAGTTCCCGGGGCCCTGGGAGATGCATTGGAAAAAAGTAACAAACAGAATTCTGTGAGCTGAAAGGAGAGCCTTCCTGCCAAAGTGAAGGCAATTGTGCTGAATACCTTCTGGGTGGTTAATTTGTATTCCACACAACTACAGAGCTATGGTAAGATGCATCCAGCTGCCCTTTCCTCCTCCCCTCTTTCCTTTTAACTGTGCAAACCTCTACATATCCTACTTTTTTTGATGGTGGCCCATCCATATCCCACCTGGTTCTCAGTGATGGTTTTATACCAGCGTTCACCTCAAAGTTATTCATTTGACCACAAGACCCAAACAGACTAATTATTTCAGTAATAGATATCATATGTTATCTTTCTTCCCTTATCATGTATTTTTCTGTGAGAAATGAGTTTTAGAAGTTGATCTGGTTGATTCTAGTACCAGATTATTTTCTGTCCTTTTATTGTTATTCTGAAACAGCTTAATTAGAATTGCTCTCTGGTTACTTTATTAAAAAACAACGTGGCCATCAGGCTTCACCTGGGCTCATGTCGTGTGGGTGCTGCCACCTGCATCCAATACCTATGATGCCCCTTACTCCGAATGTTGCTGTCCCTGCTAACCAGACCTTCTTTTACCTGAACCCTTTTTGTTTCTGGCTGGGCTATCACACCACTGTTTTTAAGATCCAAATCTCCTATGCTCCGCGTCATTGCAAGTCTACCATTCACATGAGGTCGTCCCAGACTGTTCCAGGAAACGAAGCCACCGCACTTCTTAATCCTGTCCAGAGGCACAAAAGGAGAAGTGAACATGAGTTAGTGCTTCACACCATTACCGCCCTCTCTATCACAATTTCCATCCCTAGCTACAATGGGGAATGAGGTATGGAGTGTTTAAGATGGGAGACTGAGGGTTGGCCTTAGCTGTTAGAAGGTTCCATGGAAGGGATGTGTCTTGGTGGGATGAGTCCTGACCTGGGAATCACAGTGAATTTCTTCAGGTCTTGGTTCTAACTTGGCAGTCTTGGACAAGTCTGAACAATGTAGTCATGGCTCTGTACTGAATCTTAGTTATGCTGATCTTACTGCTGAGACAGTTTATGTTCATGGAGGGCTTTCCACATCCACAGTCCTCTAAATGGAACCCAATGAGTTAACTGGAGCTGTGCTGTTTACTGGCAGCTCAGAGGTGGCCTCAGAGCACTATGTTCAGCTCTCTACTTTCTTCCTGGCCCAACCCAGCAGCAGAACACAAGCCCATCCTGACTGGAGGCCTGGAGGCCGTGCTCTGCGAAGCCCCATCATCACCCAGCAGGTACCTTTCCTTCTCCTCCTTTCTTTCTGGAGTATGGTCAATGGTGAGTTTCATGGCCTTTCCCTTTCGGCACAGCAAAGCACGACTGTCTCCCACACTTGCCACCACCAGCTCGATGCCATCCCGGAGCAGAGCCACTGTTGCAGTGGTCCCAGCGTTCAGCAGACTTGCTATAAATGTCATATGAAAGAGAGGTTTTAGCACTGCCTCAAAGCGTGGAACTGTAGATAGCAGAAACAGTTTCAACTGGTAAAATGAAGACAACATGTGCTCTACATAACCAGTAAGTAATCGCTTCTAAGTTTAAACTAAATCTACACATTAAAAAAAAAAAAGAGCAAACATGCATGCACGTAGGACTGGGGAAAGAGAGAGGAAGTGGAAAGGATAAGTATTTCTGTGCAACAACACGGCTCCATGCAAACAGGGCAAGTGGAACAAAAGCATTTCAAGTTACATGGGCATCCCTTCAGCCTGTAGCAAGTAGTTTTTTCTGTCCCACTAGCTCAGCTCGAGTTACATTGATATTGTCCTTATCCCTGGGCACAGTGACTGCACAGGTAGCTCACCATAAAGGTGATGGCTCTTCCCTTCTGTTAGGTGATGAAGCAGGTGATTGAGTAATAGTAACTGTAGCTCCATGTAGGTCACCACAGGAAAAGCAATAGATCCCTCCTTTACCAGTCTGTGGCACCCTCCCATTGCTGTCAGAGCTGTTACACTCCCTCTCTGCTTCCCCCAGCCTTGCCAAGGGAAGAAGGGTTCAGCCAACAGGCCACTGACCTTTTTCAGGGGGGAATGCTACTCCCTTCAGATCCTGCCAATTTGCTGGAGGTGAAAAGGTGAAGCTGGATTCTGGGATTCTGCCTTGCCTCGTGCCTGCAAACTGATGCAGTCAGGTGGCAGTGGCTGCCCAGACAACCTGCCCTGGGGCACTGCTGGGATCATTTACAGGGTGTAGACTGACTGCCTAGAGGGTAAAACAGAGCCCTGAGTGCTGTGCTCCTTTTACAGTGAGCTGAGCTGGCTTACTGCACTCAGGGACCTTGGATTAACTTGGGCAAGTAAATTTAAGGGCTTTTCATTTAAATTTCTACAACGCTCAGGAATAAATAGAAGTGCTTGAAAACAAGAAATGTGAGTCTGCATATTTTAGAAAAGATGTGTAGTTTTATCTGCAGTGAAGAAAATGTGAGAAGAACTGCTCAGCTTTCCTTTTTTTCTTTGCTTTTTTTAAAGCAGTAGTCCCATTTTACAGTCAGTACCTTCCCTTCCTGCAAATTCTGCAAAGGTAACTCAGCGAGAGGTGCCTGGAAAGCAGTAACTCCTGCTGACTTGAGCTATCACAGTAAAATGTCTGGCCAGGACAAGCTATTGCCTGGAAAACATTTGCATTCACAGCCAAATCCCCTTGAAAGGCCCTCTGTGGGTCACCTGCATTCTGGGCTTTTCCAGTTGTTCCAGTTTTTCAAAGCAAGCCAATTTGAGGTGAGTTTTGGGCTTACTTAGGAATGTCAATCCCCAGTCATATTCCTGTTTTCATGTCACTAACAGTTAAATAGCTTTCCATCACTGCATCTGAAGAGCTCAGCTACAACTATCTGGCCCTGCAGGCCTGACTCCGGGGAATGGAGACAGATCTGAGACAGGACTGCATCTTTGATCCCAAGGAATGCCAGCCAGCCCCATCTCTAACCAGCTGCCAGCAAATAGCAACAGGAATGCAACTGCTCTGGGGTCTTGACAACCTCTTTTCCCAACCCTATGAGGCCTCAGCACCCTGTAAGTAAAACAGAGCTGGGAGTAAATTGAAGTGCACAAAGCCCTGAAAGATGCATTGAGCCTTGTTGTGCAGTGAAATCAGCGAGTTGATGGATCAAAAGGAAAAACACCCTCACAAAACAGTGTTAACTAAGCTTGTGTTATTATTTAAAACAGGTATTATTACTGCAGCAAGGACTTGGTTTAGCAGTACACTGAACCAACATGTCCATCGTGAACATTGGCCAAGTCAAACCTTGGCCTCTGTCACGGCTGCCATGCAGGCTGTGATATTCCAAACTAGACGACGGCAGCTTTGGGCTGGTCAGGCAAACACTGACATCCTGTTTCTAATTTGAAGCAAGGACTAGTCCGGTGCAGCCTCACTCTGAGGCACACTACGAAAGTGAGATGCTAACAAGTACCAGTGTGATTAGGAATTTTAGTGGAACCAGTAAAATACCTGTTTTAGCCAACAGTTAAAAGAAGTGAAATAAAGAACCTACATAAAACTACCTTTTTTTTTTTTAACAGAAAATACATTTTACTTAGACATTAAAATTAATGCAGAATTGCTGCTACTTTCCCATTTCATTCTGTGGTTTTGGGACTATGCTGAGAAACACAAGGTATTTCTGAAAAAGTTAAGATCTGTAGCCTTTAATTCATAGAAGACTAAGAACATTTGGACATTTGGGTGAATCTGCATCTTTTGAGTGCAAACACCCAAAGAAAAGAGCTGCTATCACAAAATCAAGTGATGGTATTAAAGAACGGGTCAAGATATTTTCTAGAATTGTGGTAATAATGGACATAGTGACTTGACAGTTTATTAGTTAAATAGCACTTCTAGAAAAAAACACAAATGCTGCTCATGATCTCTTCTTGGAACCAGTTCATGATCTGGGTAGGGATGCAAGAACATGGATGCAGCATTATGTGATTTCTAGCACAACTCCAACCCACAGGAATGATGATGGGAAAACATTTCTAATGCTTTACAACAACTGCTGCTAGTTTATTTAACAATACAAAATATGTTGCATCAGCATATGTATTGGCTTTAACAATGAAAGAGTTTATTTTGTTTTCCTAACAATATCACTATAAAACTAAGATCTTTCAATAGGTTCTTAACACTCACTGGACAACTTTTACTGCAAGTCATCTCAACTAATGTGACAAAGAGGATGTGGGAACCTTCCAGTAGTCCAGGCTAGGAACCGCCGGACTCCTTCACCTGGGACAAAATTAAGCAGATCTCTCTTTCCACTGAAGCCCAGCACATGTCCAGGGCCTCCAGTTCTAGAGCTGCTGACCAGGTACAGTGTCTGCCACAAATAACACGCACACAGAGGCAAATAGGAAATTCACCCAGGGACTTTGTTCAAACAAAATAAACCTGCAACACTGGAGATGAAAGAGTAAGGGCTGCAGAACAGGGGAAGTGTCACTCTCAGGTTTGCCTGCACTGTCTGTGCAGGTCAGATGGGAAGCACTTCAGGCTTGCATGTGCACCTCTGGCCACAGATAAATCAACCTCAGTGTTTCTGGAGAATTGCCACTGTTCTCACCTTCTTTCTAAAACTGTGTGACAAAACCATTTTAAATTCAGCCAAAATAAAATCTACATTTTTTTTTCTCCCCTGTGGAGACAAGTAACCAACCAACAAATCAACTAAAGAATTTTATCAATGTTAGAGGGCCAGCTGCCTCATATATGGCAAGAGTGGCCACTTTGAAGAACATTTTTAGTACAGAATATGGCCAAATCTGTTTCCTCAATTTATTTATTTTTATATATATATATATATTTATATATAACACTAAAATGGGGAGTCCAAACCAGTGCCAACTGAAATGGGGCCATCTTAAAGGCACTGAATAGAAGTATACGAATTGTTCTGACCCATGGGAAATATGCAAAATTAACACCCCTTTAATATTGTAATTAGGAGCTTCTAACTTGATTAGGTAATAATCAGGGTCCTTGGATAAAAAGGCTTCCTTTGCAATGTTGATGGATTTAGGAAATACTTAAGTACAATTTCTGCAGCTCTCCCTTTTCCTCAGTGTTGCAGGTTAACATATGTAAAGAAATAAAAATCATTTTTTGAATGGCAACTTGAAAAAAAATAACAAACCCAAACCCCACTACTTTTGAAATTTAATTATTTTTAAATAACTTTTGCTGTTTGCTCAGCATAGTAATGTTCAAGAGGTGCCTTTCAAACATAGATACACCAATTAATACCTGGCTATGTTTTAATAAGATGGCTATTCCAGAAGTGAGTGGTCAATGTGGTTAGAGTTGGATGCACTGACCCTGGAGGTCAATGGACAGACCACCTGTAGTTTTCTCTGAGCAGTGGCTCGCAGTGAACAGGAGCAGTAACAATACCTTGTATGACTGCACTGAGCCAGGAGAAGGTTTATCTTACATTTCTCCACGGAAATGCTCAAATTCCCTCAAGCACACAATTCACATTCTTATTTCAGTCCTTGCTGAGTAAAGCTATTCAGCCTTTACATTGTCAGTTTTTATGGCTGGTCAAAAATATCCAAAAATTCTGCCTATCTGAGGCAGTTGTCCCATGGATAATGACATTTGTTGGATGTGAGCTTCCTTTGCTGCGTCCTATACCTAAGTTTAGCTGGGACTTGAAAGTGACTGGATATATTTAAATGCGTGGAAGGGAATGAAAATGCATTTTTGAAGAGATACCAAACACCAAGCTCCAGGGCTCAGGCATATCTCCAAGCTGTTAATGATTAGACAGGATTTAGGCAGAGGACAGATTATCCCAGACATACCTATGGCAAGTTTCTTATGCTTTTGTGTGAAGCAACAGGTACAGATCACTGTCAGAGTGACAGTCTCCAACAGCACTAGTGAACTGCATGCCAAACACAGTAGCAGTACCTTTTTTTTTATTATTGAAAGCTCACAGTAACTATTATGCTATGTATTTTCCATCTGTAATTTCCAATATTTTATAATTGTAAAGTGACCTACAAAGGGCCATGCTCTTGAAGACATAGCTAGGGGCTCCAACAAGGCACATCTCTAGTTCTGTTAAATTTGTGCTATTATGTAAGGGTTTCACCCCTTAAATAGTAAATATAAACAATGCCTTAAACATCCAATCTTGGCTACAGGGATTCGTCCCAGGACTTAGGTTCCTTCAAACACCCAGGTACACACCCAGGTCAAATTTGGCTGTGTGTTAGCAAAGACCTGGACATCCTCAACATGCACTGTTGGTTTTTTTTGCAGACACAGTGAAAGGAACAAGCCCTGGAAGGGCCATTTACTGGAACAAGACTAAGCTATCATTCCCCACTTCATCAGCTGTGGCCAGGTTTCTAAAGGAGGTCAGTCTTGGGGAGCATCCAGCGTATCCCAGACACACCATTACACAACCAGCCACCATCTTCAAGATATTCTAGCAACTGTCTGGACTGTCACATCTAGAATAGCCACAATTAATCAGACATTTTGCTGGCAAACTGAATCAGTTTGGAATAAGGCTTCTAACAGACACATGCCAAGCACTGAAATTTTACGTAACTTTCGAAACATGAGCAACAACAAAAATATCCACACAAAGCAGTCAAAACACGGTATTGAATTATTTTAGCAACAGATATGCAACAAGTTTAATCCATTCATAAATCCGTACCCTGTTACTCCATTCTTTGCCTTAGAGCTTGATTTTCATCCAAGAGCACTGGGCACTTAGATCCCACAGGCTCCTTCAAGAGCTTGCAGGTGCTCAGCCTACCTGAGAAACACTGAGTGCCTGCCAGAGTGTGGCCCCTGTGGATGTCTGACAACGCTTTTATCTTCTATTTTGCTTGACCTCAAGCTTTTTTAATTAAGAGGTCATGTCCAGTATCCTGATAACCACTGCATAAGTTTGCTGGCATTAGGCAGCACCAGTTAGTTAAATGATATGAAAAAAATCCTACAAGCAGTTCTAAAATGCTCAGCTTGCTGCACAACTTGTCTACGAAATATTGTTCTAATCCAGTTCTGTAAGTCTCAAGTACAAAATATTCTAATTGGAAACCATTTTCAGAATAACAGAATAATATATCAAGCACAGTTCTCAATCCTTCTCCTCAAGGAGCCACTCTGACACTTAACAGAGGTTCCTGCAATGAGCCAAACCAAGAGCTGTCCTACTCACAGGGGGGCAGGGAGGGGGATGAATAGATCTTCGTGTTAATGAAAATTAAAGGTTCTGATCCAGGAAAGCACATAAACTAGCCTTCAAATGCTGTCTTGAATTTGGGCTTTTAAGAAAACATATTTGCAAGGAGGCTCTAGGATAAAAAGCACATCTGCTCTACTGATGAGTCTCTCATGAGCTCAGTTAAAACTCACCCCATAGGTCAAAAGTGACTCCTGACTTTTTTACCACTGAAATACAATGGGAAAATGAAATTTATAGATTTAATACCTTTAAGGGCTGCATTTCAGGACTGAAGAATTTTTTCCTGATACCTTAGCCTGTACCAAGGAAGAGGAAAGGTATGCGTCCCTCACAGTGCTGCAACAGTCAGGCTGCCTGTCCTGCCAGGAAATAATTTGAGTCTACCTAGATTCATCTAGCAGTTAAACTGCAGGAAGCCATTCCATTTCTTGATTGTAGTCATTCCCTGCTTAAGAAAAGCAGCTTGAGAATACAGTATCACTTCAGTCCCTAGAGGGCTTGTTGGTTTCCAGTCTTTCTGGGAGAGAAGACTTCTACAGTTTCCATTCTGGAACAACCTCAGTCATTTTGCCAGAGCCTCCACCAGCACTGGGACAGGTTTTTTGTTTGTTTGGGGTGGGGAAGGTGGGTTTGGTGGTTGGGGCCTTTTAATTGTTGTGGTTTGTTGGTGTTTTTTTTTTAATTGGGCTTGTTTGTTTCTTGGGGCTTTTTAAGATTGGCTAAACTGACTCTCAAAATTTTATCTCATGACCAAGAAAACTCCTATGACAGAGCTGGGATAGGCACCTCTATCTCCCTTCCCAAGTTACTCTCTATAAGCTCCAGTTGCTGGAACTGGAACTTCAGATGTACTTAGTCTGTAGACACATACACAAGAACTTCATTAACAGCCAGGATTACGGAGTCTAAAAGGGCTGGTGTCAGCTTTACCACAGCCTTACCACAGCCAAACTTGTTTTCCTCTTCACTGCTTTTTTCCCTTTCACACTCAGCTACTCCTGTGATTCTGTTTGTGCAGAAGCAATATCAGTTGCATTAATTGTGGCTTATGTTCCTCCTCAGGTGCAGCAGCCACGTTAGAAAGGGGAACTTTGACACTGCTGCTTTTAAAGCATAGGAATAACAGCTTCAAAACAAACAAACATATAAAAACACCACTTCCCACACACACAAAAAACCCAAACAAAACCAACCCCCCTCCACGTTTCTTGCACAACAAAATTATGGTCCTTGCAAATCTAAATTGCTCTTTGCTACCTTGACAAACACTGTCCTTGACAGAATCATATTAAGAGAAATTCACTAATGATTATGCTAACGTTCAGATTTGTAACTCCCACAGTAAATTTGATTGAGACTTTCAGTAGCTGTTTCATTTTAGGGAGGTAAACCATAATTGTTTCATTTGCAGTTAAGTGATCAGAGCTAAATCCTGTGTTAAGTAAAACTGTTTTCAAGGACTTTTCTGGACATTTTACTGCAATACTACTGAGCAAATAAGACATACTTTATTGTCCACACCCATATAAGTAGAATATCTTTTTACCTACCTTCAGCAGAGAGATTAGCATGCCTTTCATAGGCTTTGTTTATTTCTATAAAAGCTTTGCTCAAAACATTCTCCAAGTTCTCCTCCTCAGCAAGAAATTCCCTGGAAACAAACAAGCAAACAAAAAACTAAACTTCTCTCCAAGAAATACATATCTTGATCAATCTGCTTCATACTCCTATCTGCTCCTTACACACATTGAATAATGTTGCATTTCAGTGAAAAGGTAACATGCTTTTACTAATGACCTGCACTGGAAGCATAATCTTGTAATTCTACAAATATTTAAGTTCCTCTTCCAACATCCAGGGACGGGATAGAGAGAAAAGAGTGTAAGCAAACTGCAGGTCAGCAATCACAGTGACCTCATGTGAAAACAGTCAATTCACACTCTCCCTGTGTTCCCAGTCATTTCCTGGATGGTGAGTACAATCGTGTTTTTCTCTCGTCTTTGTGGGCTTGCTCCATAGGGCGGGCACCACACAGAATAAGTTGTTCATAGCACGTCTGTTCCACCTGATGCTCCTGCTGTCCTGTTAGGACAGGTGGCTACATAATCTAGGAAGATTAGCAACAAGGTAAAACCCTCCGATTCTCTCTCAGTCCTAAGGAAGGAATCTCTGCTGAAATTTATTTGACACACATTCACTTGATGTGCACTTACTTAATATATTTTTCCATGTATTTATCACAGAAGTCAGCTGCTGCTGCCCCACCATGTCCATCATATACTGCAAAGTACAGGATATCCTCGGTCAGCTGAGAATAATCGAACCGGTCTTCATTCTCCTTGCGCTTCCCGATGTGGCTTGCGCAGCCCACGTTGGCCAGGCTCACTTTAGGAATCGGCTTCCCATACTTTATGCTTGGTGGGAGGAGAATAGGCTCATCAATGCGATTGTCCCAGATGCCAAAGGTGTCCCATGTGGTCGGCCGCCCGCTCCCATCTGGATCGAAGCGGGAAGCACGGCGCTCAGAGCTGGAGATGTAGCAGGCGCCTGTCGGGCGCTTCTCGTCTTGCAAGAGGCGGGACGTGAGCACGGCTCTCCTTCTTACTTGATACCCTCCATTTCGTACCAAATTAATTAAAGTAGCTGTTGACATAACTTGTCTTCACAGAGATTCTCAGGAAAAAAAGATCAGGAGTAAAAGATACTGCAGCTGCTGGAATGTCTTGGAGAACAATGAGGAAACTGATCAGGAAACAAGAAGCGCGGGAAAGAGGAATTTTCAGTTACATCATTCAGGAAACAATGTCACCCTCAGAGCCCGTTAATCGTGCCAAGCACAGCTCGGCCTGGAAGCAAGTCCAGGGCGGTCTGTGTGACTCACTGACAAACTATCCTACACTCAGCAGCCCACATCTAACCCGAGTGCTGCAGGCAGAACAAGGTAAGGCATTCCTGCTGGCCACCTGCAAAATGACATCCTGAATTTTCAATGGTTGGGGTGGTTGTGATGGAGCAAATGAGAGTTATAATGACTTCACTAAAATATGAGTATGTGAAAATATGAGATAAGTTTGTGAAAATGAGTTTATCATACATGCTTTTCAAACATCCGCACTGTGGCTCCCCGGAGAAAAGGGGGAAGAAATGTATTTCCTTAGATTTTAAAGCGTTTTTTCATCTGCACAGGATATTCAGTTCTGTCACATTTATGGAGGTCTTGAACAATACTTTTCAACACAAACCTGCAAAGTTAATTGTGATTTTTTTTTTGTACTAAGAATGACCACTAAGAGTGTATCCTTGGACATCCAAAATTGCACCCACAACCTTCCCCCTCAAACAAATCCCATGTAGCTATTTGCTGTTCTGTCTGGCCTGAAGTTTTCTGTCACATAACCCTGAAATGGATTCCTTTGGCTAACACAGGCAAGCAAGACCTTCTACTGGCTTCTCAGATCTCTTTTGCAGTCCAGATAAATTAAAACATTCTCCTTGGCTCAGCACAGACAAAAATTCACTAATGATGACTCATCTAGTATGCTGAAAAATGTTCAAGGATTGGCTTATTTGACCTTTTGTAGAGTAAAAGCTAACTCAGTGAAACTCTGGGATGCAGTTTGTGGTAACTACATGTTGTTGCACAAGAGTAATTTGAACTGGACCATCAGATCACTGTAACTCATCAGGCAAAATTTTAAGTTAGGGATTTCTAACTTAATTGCTTAAAGTTCGCTGAGAGCAAAATTATAAGTGAAAGGTATTATATGCCATAATAAAGGAACTAAAAATATCCGGGCTTATGGTGAATGCAAAAAAAAAAAAAAAAGGCACCAGAGTAGTCTGACATAATCGAGCAGCAAAGAGCAAAACGTGTACCCCAGAGACATTGTAATTCTGGGCTGGGTGCCTGGCTCTGGTACTTTCCCCAAGCCAGTCACAAGTGTATCTGTAGATCTGAAATATTTTTTAAAACTGTGTTTTTAAATAGCTACATAAAATCCATGTGCTTGTAAAAAACATGCAGTTGAAGGTAACTTAGTAAGTGGTTGCGTTAGTAGAAAACGGCAGTGACACAGCTTTTGGGAGGTATTCATTAAACTTGTTCACAGCTCAAAGCATGTTGCTTTAGATGCTCTTGGTTTACCTTTCATGCAATTTCTGCATGGAAAGAGGAAAGGTTTCTTTACTTAGCACTTAAAAGTTAACTCTTGACCTGATAAAAGGCTGAATGTTCTGGAAATCACTGTTGCATCAGTTGAATGTGGAACCACTTGGAATTTTAAGATTTTCCATTTTACTGCAGGATGATGGCAATATCACACCCTTATTTCAGTGTACTTACAGGTATTTAAAAACTGATTTACTTCCTCGAGTTGCTTTTTCTTTCCTGTTATCCTTGAATCGTAACAACAGCACGTTAACTTCCTTCTGTGAAACACAGCACGAGCAAATTGAAAGCCTGCCAATTAACAAAACCCACACTCATTTTCACTTCTGTCAGTTTGAGAAGAGAACATGAAATGCTACTTGTATTTAGATTCCCCTGTATCCACAGCATGAATCAGAGGATCAGTCCAAATTCACAAGCTAATTAATGCATTTGTTCCCTATCAAATTCAACTCTCAGAAGGCCTCTTATTCCAGCCAAAAATAAATGCTGACGACAGTTTTGGTTTTCAAGCGTCTCTGCAAGTCAGGAGCAGGAACCTGCTCTTCACTTTCTGTTATGTAAACACTGTTGCTTTTAGCTGGACACACAACAGTCTGTGCTTTGCTAGCTGGTATGTCTGCAAACACGAACTGAGGTATTGAAAAAGGAGGGGGGGCACTGCTGCTAAAGCTAAAGTCCAAGATGGACAATTCTAGATGGAAATCTGCTTTGAGGCGCTCCATCTGATCCTGTTCACCTGTACACATTTAACTCAGAGAAACACTTCCTGCAGGCAGGAAGGGAAATAGAATGCTTAAGGCAGCGAGCGGTTAAAACTGTAGTTCAGCATGCGTGGTGCCTCTTTTTACAGGCTGGCTGCTGCTCGGCGGATGGAAATTTTCCAGGCTGCCAGAAGAAAAGAGGGAAAAAAAGGAAGCCCGGAAGAAAGCGAAGGCATGCCTGCTGCCCCGGGGGATCCGACGTATGTGAAAAGGAATGTGCAACTCCAAGTGCACTTGCCTCGCGTGCCTTCCAAACCCCACAGATGGAGGCAGGACCGAAGGGTATGTTAACTGTTATGTTAAGCTCGGCTTAAATCAGAGGGCTGGTTTGTTGTTTCTTTTTAAATCGGTGACAACCTAATCTCGCCCCCCCTGCCTGGACAGCGAACTGCACACATACAGCAGCAATTTAAAGACGACTCCGCTGCAATATACTAATCACGAATTACTAGTCTACTAATCACAGAACCGGGTTTATTCTGTGCATCATGACAAAAGCTGCGCGGATCGTCGGGTAGCGCCGTTCAAGCCCCCGCTCCTTGCCATTCCCAGCCCCTCTCCCTGCCATTCCCAGCCCCTCTCCCTGCCATTCCCAGCCCCTCTCCC